GATGGATGGATGGATGGATGGATGGATGGATGCGGTGGGCTCCTCCCCCCTACTCCTTCTGTGTGAATGGGGTGGGCCCCTCTCCCCTCGTCTTCAGTGTGGATGGGGTATCCCCCTTCTCCTTTGGCATGCTGGCTGAAGGCGTCTCCGCTGTGGGCTGCCTCTCACTGTACTGTTTGCTCCAGAACCAGGGTATTATGAGGACGGGGCCTTCGGGATCCGCATCGAGAACGTTGTTCTGGTGGTTCCTGTGAAGACCAAGGTGAGTGTTTGTCCGTCTCTTCACAGAGTTCCTACTTTTACTGTGGGGAGATGAGTATCTTTGTCTTTGGAACCAAAAATGTGCCATAGTGGCACCAAAATGGAGCTTCCCTCACGTCAGAAGCTTCTCTCCTTTGTAAAACTGGAAAGGGAGAGAGGCTGTAGCTCAGTGGTAGAGTCTTGGTGAGGCACAAGCAAGGTGCCAAGTTCCATCCAAAGCACTGTCAAAAACAATTAAAAAGTTGTAGTGAATGGATGACTGTGAGATTTGGGCTGGGAGGGTAGAGGCACCTGCCACCAAGTCTGGCGACTTGAGTTTGATCCCTGGGACCCACATGGTAGAGAGCTGTTTTCTTACTCACACAGAGTTGAAACAAAAAGCTCAGTAAATAGGACAAGATAGGCCACACAGCTAATTGACTTGGATGGTTTACACCCCAGTAGACTCTCAAGACCCCAAACCGTAGGCTCCCCAAGTCCAGACACCCTCACGTCCTGTCCCCACCTTCTCCATCACAACAGACATTATCGCTCCCCTGCCCAGTGGGAGCTCTCAGCACCCCTGTTGGCTGGTTTCTGATAACTCAGGGGTGTGGCCAAGGTGGTGTGTGGGAAGTGGTGCAGCTGCACTAGCATTTCTTGTGGCGCCCTGGTGACTACCTGTCATTTCTCTGAGGGGTGCTGGGCTTGGTGGAGGAGTCCCAGCCGTTCACTGTGTAAAGGGAATGTAACCTGCCCTTTCCTCCTCATCCTGCAGTATAATTTCAATAACCGAGGAAGCCTGACCTTTGAACCTCTAACTTTGGTTCCCATCCAGACCAAAATGATAGATGTGGATTCTCTTACAGATAAAGAGGTAAGGAGGTCTGGGTGAAAATGTGGAGGAAACTGTCCCCCTCCATTCCCATGGTTCCATTTAGAGGTCAACTTTGACTGAAGTCCCGTGGACTAGTAGCTGGTATGTGCTGGGCTTTTAGCAGAGGTAGTCCTGTTCCACAGGCTGTGGAGCCCTAGGGCTCATGGTAGGCACAGCGGGCCATAGCTTTTCAAGGGAAACAGCTCTTCCTGCTTACATGCACTGAGGCAGCGTAGCAGCTACTTTTGTGTCCTCCAGAGCTGACAGAAGCAGCTTTTGGGAAAGGTTTGCTCTGGCCCAGTTTCAGGAGATTTCAGGCCATCCTACGGGGAGGACATGGAGGAACAGCTCATGAGTGTGAGGAGCTAAGGCAGAGTTTGTGATGACTGGAATGTGTAGCAGAGGCTTTTCATGTCACAGTGGACCAGGAAGCGGTGAGAAAGACTAAAACCAGGGACCAATCTGTGACCTTTGAAGACCTGCTGTTAGTGGCCTACTCCTGCCAACTAACAGACCCCACCTCCTAAAGGTTCTGAGTAATGCCACCTACTGGGGACAAGCAGTCAGAATCAAAATGTAGCAGTCCTCTTTAGCAAACATGGATGGGTCCATTTGTCTTTCCTACAAAAAACCAGATGGGTGTGAGGCCCCTGGGCCATTGCAAATGCCAGATTGTTGTCTTGTGTTGCAGGAAGCATTAAGGAGGCAAGAAGCACAGTCTGTCATGTGCTCAGTTTCTCACAGATGAGTGAGGCCATCCCGGTCTACGGCTGTGGTCACCTTGTGTGGCACAGCAGGGTTCACTTTCCAAGCTCCCAGCGCTAGACACATCCAAACCCTCCAAGTGCTCCAGCAAGTCCCCAGCCGTATGCCAGAGAAGGTGGCAGGCCAAGGTACCTGGAGTAATGACTGAGCGATCAGGCAGGGGATTAAGGTCAGGGAAGAAAGTAGGACCTGGAAAGGGCAGGAACAATTCGCTAGTCAGAGACAGAGCAGGTTTTCATCTAGGAAGTGGGAAACCAGGACACAAGCTCCACGGCAAGGTAGAAGTCCCAGCGAAAAGCTGGTGACTCGTGGGGACATAGGCCGGAAAAGACACTGTAGGAATGACCTCTGGCCCCTCCCCAGGGCGTTGGTGCACTCTTAAATGCAGGGCGATCGTCACTGGGGTCATCTTGGGTGTCCAGGGTACTCGATGTCCAGGGAGGCTGTAGAGTGGGGTTCACCCACCTAGAAGCCTCTGTGCCTTTCATTTAACATGTGGGTCACTGGGGAAGCTCACCTACTTCCTGTGTGCTTGGGCACACCTCTCTGATCATGGTGCCTGTGGTGCAGCCAGCATTTGTGTTCATAGAACACTAAAGGGGCCTGGCCATCCTTGTTTATTCATATTGTACATAGATTTAGAACAGGACGCTCGGCCTTACCGCCATCTAGTGTCCCATGTCTCTTCAGTGGGCAGACTCCTGTCTGCAGCTCAGGAGCCCCTCTCCACCCCACCAGAATGACGCTGGGGGAGCAGGGGAGCACGGGCACACAGTGGCGTGAGAGCCCCCTGCTTAGAAGTTCTGTGTCCCCTAGGGACCCGTGCCTCTTGTAGCATCCACTGGCTACACTTCCAGGGCCTTATCAAGGGACCCTTGAAAGCCCACGGCTGTAGTTTATGACCAGGTAAGTAGGTTGCACCGTTGTCCTGACCATGTGTGAATTGGGAGGTATTTGTCCCAGGGCATGCTCCATTTACTCAGGGAAGTAGTGCATGAGGAAAAGTTAAGCAAGGCTGTTTTTTCCTGAAAGATTTTTACTGACTCACAACCCACTTAGTGACACTGGACGCAGACCACTGGGATATGCCATGTTCAGTGAGTGTCTATACACCTTGCCTG